TTTTTGCGTTTGGCCCCGTTGACGAGCGACTTGTGGGCCGACTACGCGGTTTCCCCCCCACCGCACGTTGAATTCCGCTCGCTCGTTGCTAAAAAGGCTCCCTGCAATTAACCTCCATTCATTTGCTGTATTATTGTCACCCTTGACACTCACAGTCACACTTGAGGGTGATTTGGAGGCTTTGGTCAAGCTAAAACGGGTGCTTTTCGGGATTGTGTGGGGTTGACCAAGGCATCTGTGTAAAATCGAAAAGATTATTTGATTTGCAAGAAAACTGGATGATCGAATCAGTTTACGAACAAATTCAAACCACCTGGTCATCAAAACTAGTTTGGTTGTCAACCTTATTTTTTTTTTGGCTCGTCTACCTCCAAACCTTTTTGTCACACTATTATTACACTCTACACAGTTTAGTACCCCTTCACTTGTACATTTCGATGATTGCCCTAAAATAGAATGCAACACAACTGATTATTAAATGAAAATCATTTGACTTTGTTTCCTTGATGCGAATATTGAATTCTCAGGCATTGTCTTCTTTGAAACTGTCTTTCGTTTGTTCTCCCCGCCGCAGTCAATCAGATGATCAAGGAGCATGGCAACCTGTTCACAGACAGCCTGTGCAGCGTCTGCAATGCCGTCCTCATCTCAGAGTCGCAGAAGCTGGCTCACTATCAGGTCGGCGTCCTGTTTTTGAGCGGCGAGCATTTGTCGTCATGGATCACCGGTGGGGTCGTTTAACATGTGTTCGTATTTTCGCTCTCTTTTAGAGTAAGAAACACGGCAACAAGGTGCGACGTTACCTTTCCATCCAAAGTGAGAATGAGCCAGAGACAAAAAAGTTCAAGTCCCTATCCTCTGTCAGCGTAAGCGAAGTCGCTCTCTTTTTTTGTGGTTGTTTTTACACGTACCTATTTGTCATGCAGGTGAGACAAGGGTAGCCAGCGGTTGGAAAATTACCTCAAATTTTCTGCCGAATGTGAAAAGTTTTGGATCTATTCCAAATGGGAAACTTTACATGCGAATAACTGAACTACCGGGGGAGTAGCGAATTGCAGAAATGCCTGACGAGTCGCCAGACTGCGCCCTGCCTTCTTCCTCTCCTTGGTCTATTTGCATTTGGAAAAGGCTCACTTCACTGAGTGTTTGTGTTTGTCTTTCAGCACGACACCAACAATGGTGAGTCAGACCCGATGAAGGCTTGCAAAATGTGCAAGATGACCTTCACGTCCCCCGTGATGGCACAGTCTCACTACCAGGGCAAGATCCACGCCAAGAACCTCAAACTGAAATCGGTGGACCCTCACACCTGTACGTACACAACCAGGGTGTCCCCAGTTCACGACCCGCCCAATAAAGAATCACACTTAGAAACTCAGAACACTCATCTCAAACCATCTTTCCCTCTTCTAATGTATAAAAATGCCATTGTTTTTTTTTTCCCGATGAAGTAGGACATAATTATGTGGTTATTTGAAATACACAGTTTGTTTTTCTCGTTGTTTTTTTTTTTGTTTTTGTTTTTTGTTTTGTTTGACAGTAAACTGGACTGGGAGTGGCATTAATCATCTTGAAGACTCTTTTGCGCTTTTACCGTTGTTCTTCACCAGTAGCCCAACAGGCTGCACCAGCTCCATCCAAGAAGAAAGCAGCAGCAGCAGCAGCGGTGGTGGAGGTGGCGGCGGCGGCAACTGGCAACGGCGGTCACGGTGGCGACAAAGACCCCGACCGCTTCTGCTCCATCTGCCAGGCGTCCTTCAACAATGCGCAGATGGCCCAGCAGCACTACTCGGGCAAGAAGCACAAGAAACACCTGGCCAAGCAGGACCTGATGAAGCTCTACGGCAAGCCCGCCACTCCGGGTCAGTACCTCGACGCAATTGTCACATGAGGAGAACCGTCCTCTTTAAATAACGACATGTCACTTTTTTTGTTTGTTTTTAAAGCAGCGTCCACGGCAAAAGGCTTGCCCTGTACACTCTGCAACATTGAGCTCAACTCTGTGGATCAGTACCAGTCTCACATCAGCGGGGCCAAACACAAGAACCAGTACGTGCACCGCAGCCTTTCTCTCGTTCAACTTTTGGCCATGTCGGAAAACAACCGTGGACGTAGTGTACGCCCGCGCTTCGCAAAGCGTTACATCAAGTATCGCTGATAGAATGCTTAATAGTATTTGCAAGCCACTGTAAGATGATGCACAGTTTGAAGGTGAAAATGGAGTATCGAGGGGGGACAGTCGTAAATGAGTCGATGTGACACTATTTCCAAAATTGCCCACCTGAATGGAAATTCAGCGGGCTGGTTGGTTGCATCTCAATGACACTCCTTCTAACTTGATTACAGAATGAAAAAATCTGGCCTGACCCCATCTGACAGCCAGCAGGCATCCGCTCCCCAAAACGAGCGCCGCGACAGAGACGAGCAGTCCGCCGGAAACGACGAGGACGACGACGACGACGACGAGCAGCCCGGCAACGGCTCCTATCAGGGCGGTTTGCCGAGCCAGCTGCTGGCGTCGGGGGAGGACCAAGATTTTGTGACGGAAGACAACCTTTTTGAGACGGAAGACAACTTCTTTGGGATTGGAGGCGACATTTTCTCCGCGGCAGATGACCAATACGATGAAGACAGCTAGTACGCCACTGTGACTCATGAGTACTAGAACCACCAGACTGGGTTTCGCGCCGGACTATGGAGGATTCAGTCAGGACCTGGAACAATAACAAAACCTAACCCTCCCACCGGAACGCTCCCCGCATCCCACCCTTCCCCTCCCCACAAAAAGAATCTTTTTCTAACTGAACCCCCAATGTGAAGTTTAATTGCGTTTTATTTCAACGTCTTTTAAAACCAAACGCTTTTGTGACAGTCTCTTAGCATGTGCTAAATGAAGACACATTCCCCTTGGAAAAAAAACAACTCACCATCGTTTCAGTGGAGAACCCAAAAGTCCGCATATCAAACGATAAATTTGTTGGATATTGTTACTTTTACCCAAACGGCTCCTGTCGTCGTGTCACAGCACAGCTTCCGTTAGATTTTTAGTTGTGTGTAACGGTTTTATCTATCTTTTACCTGTTATTTTTGTATTTATTTACTTTTTTTTGTAAGTCTTTGAGAAACTTTGTGTTAAAAATTTTAACATCTAAAGTTTTTTCAAATTTTTTTTTGCAATTATATTAAGAAACTAAACCCAAAAGAATTGACAGTGTCCCCACCAGGTAGCGCGACTACACAAACGTACTATAAACAAAAGAAGCTTTTCTGCTGCACATCACCAACCAGGTTTTTTTTCGCAGCCCTTGTGGGAAACTGCGAAAACCACGCCACACTGAAATGGATCGCTCGCCACAAGAAGTGCGAACAAACAACAATGGAGGAGAACAAGGGTCTCCTGTATCTCCTTAAAGCGGCAAACACAACACACACCACTGGATAATCCCTCAGGATAAGATTTCAGAAACTTCCCATAATTGGGCTTTTGCCGATTTTGATAGGAAGCGGTCAACACTTTTTTTCTTTTTTTTATTTATAATACCAATTATCAGTGGTAGTGTAACCCATCTCAAAAGTGACACCTGTCGGCTCTTTTTTTTTCAGAACAGATCAGAGGTTGGGAAAAAAATCACTCTTAACACACCACACACCAAAGGATAATCTTTCAGAGACCTCCTATCTGACGTTTGCTGACTTTGATTGTTGCTTCAATTTGGCCTTCCCTTTAACATTGACAGTTGTTGCCCTCAGCTGTTTTCCGAGCAGACGAGAGATGAAAAATCACTCTGCCCCACACCACAGGATAATCGTACAGATTATCGATCTGTGTGTCTTGAGAGTAGATTACAGGCAGCAAGAACATCTCGTACCCGCGTAGGTAGTGGAAGAGCATCAACAGCAAATGGAGCAGTGGAAAAGCAGCGTTAAAAAAAAAAAATCGTGCTTTTGTGCACTCGCGCATTCAAATGACCAAAAGTCATCAGCGGGTTCAGTCACGGTGTGTCCTGCTTTCAATCGTAATGCCCTCACACTGGAAGTATCGTTGTCACTGAAAAGAAAAATCGTTCCAAGCTGCTCTTCTTCTGCCCTAATTTTTCTTGTATGGTTGACTTGGTTTTTATTCCACTTTTGCAGTAAATGGCGATCAATAACAAACGAGTCCTGCATTTCACATCGTCTTCAAGTGATGTCAAAATAGGCAAGTGATGTCAGTGAGTATCATCAAGTAAGTCTTACCTGTTCTCGACCTGCTGCATATTTTACGACCGAATGTTTGCGCTATTGCGAGTGGGTGTGTGTGTGCTGTTTTATTTTCTGCTGTACGTTTTGGTGTCATCCTGATCCGTTACATAAAAAAAAAAAAAAAACTTTCCCACAGTTTTGTTGGCTCTCCTTGATTTCTTTCAAATCGATGAGTCTTCCCAACAGTAATGGCAGATCAGTAATACTGATCAAATACTTGAGAAACAACACCGAGGTAGAGCCATGTAGATTATGGCAGAAAAGGAACATGTCTTCTTGTGGTACTCTTCAGAATGTAAAACTTGTAGTATATCGGCTCATTGTACAAAAGGAAATTACTTTTCCGTTGGCCAATGACTCCATTATCACATTTTGATTGTTCCTCAATATTCCAGCGTCAAAGCAGTTGTAATACATCAGAGTTGGGCATCATATGGGAATTTTCCAAAAACTAGAAAGGAGTGCTTACAGTTCAGGTTGACACCACGACCACACGGTGGCGCCCTTGCACCTCGCCAGAAGGAGGTTGGTTCCAATGGGCAGTTCATATCGCGGCAGGCCCGAGTACGATCGCCTCTGAGTTGCGAACGTCACGCTAGCGTGTGTACGTCGTGTGTCTTGCGCACAGTCAGCGTTGGCCCAGCTTCACGTCGATGGCAGTCATGTGACTGGCTGAGGTTCTTGCGTCTCTTGAACAACCCCTCTGACAGCTTGAAATCTCCCAGGCTGACCCCCGGCTGAATTCTACTGACACTTTGCTGACCTGTGGAGGGGACTGGATGCGAAGTCCGTCCAGCCGACCATTTTCTCATCGGCGTATCCTCGCGGGCCCGCCTGGAGCCTGTCCCAGTCATCATTGGGCAACAGGCGAGGGACACCCTGATCGGGTTGCCAACCAATCGCGGGGAACGCTGCGACAAACAACCATTTGGAGCCTTCACAATCATACGTTGGGACAATTTAGTCTTCAAACTACCTACCATGTTTGTTTTGAGAATATGGCAACCGGAGTACCCGGAAAAAAAAAACAACACAGGCATGGGCAGAACCTGCAAACTCCACGAATTCACAATCATACCATAGGACAATTTAGTCTTCAAACTACCTACCATGCTTGTTTTGAGAATATGCCAACCAGAGTACCCGGAGAAAAACCAACACAGGCATGGGCAGAACCTGCAAACTCCACGACGGCCTGCAATCGAACCCGCGGCCTCTGCGCCGTGAGGCGCACGAGCTAACCAGTCGATCGCCGCGCCTTCAAAACGATAAGACACTCGGTGGCAAATGTGAATTTCACGTTCTTGACTGGCGGTAATTGCCGTTTAGCTGCCGATGACAACGCGCACGCAGTTGTAAACGTGTTCGTCATTCGCCACGATGCTTTGCCACGGATGGCTGACACGTCGCGTTACAATTCCAGTAAAAAGTGCCCACACAAGTCCATGTGTGCAAGAGCAAGCAGAAGCCTGACCAAACGGCAGTCTGCTGGACTTGTCAAACACCTGTTGGCCTGCACCCGCACCATTACAACCCCCGCCCCCTAAGCGCACCAGCCCTTCTCACCCCCCTTCGGACATTCGATACGTGGGGGAGGGGAGGGCCCGGGAAGAAGGCGTGAGAGGGAGAAAACAGCTGCATCAACTGGATGCTTCCTCTTCGGGTTTCCGCTCCCAGCTGGACTTGCCAGGTCCACCCTCCCATCCAGTCGGGTCCATCCGTCGCGTTGTCCGGGGCGGGAGGGGGTGGGGGGGGGGGGATGACTAAACCCTCTGCTGGGGGAATTGTGGATGTTGCACAGTGGAATGCTTTTCAAATTGCAATGTCGTTTTGGGTCTGCGTACCTCAGGCACCGAGCAAGGAGGTCGGATCAGGAAGGTGGGGCCCGGCCGTTTGAAGATTGGAAAACAAATCATCGGATCTTCCAAAAAACTCGAAAATGAGCCAGTGAAGGATGCCCGAGTCGGGGGTTCTGTGCTCCCTCATACGAGTCCCAGTCAAGGACCAACTGGAGACGTTTCATAACACGCATGAAGACAATCTGGCTTCACCCGTGAGATTTCTGCCTTGGAGAACTTGTGGAAGACAATCGTAATGTGTGTGTGTTGCTCTGGGTTGAGACAACCGGAGCAAACCACACACACAATGTGACCCCAACTGTTTGAATGCCTTTTGTTTTTTTTCATCTTTATGTGTGGGGTCTGCAACAGATAAATCTGGTGAAGATGTGAAAGATCCTTGAGTGGGTACCAGGCCTGTTAAGGGAAGACTAACAGTGGGTCTGTCAGTAATACTTCACGGACTTCTGTCTTCCTGTCCACACTTGGACTTTTCAAAGGGCATTGGTGATTTAGGGAGTTTAAATTGTCATCGTTATGATGGATTTGGTAAGAACAAGCCGAACGCTTTGCGAAGGAGAAAGACGGCGTCGGGACGACAGGTGAGCTGTTCCGCTCTCGGGCGCCTTTCACTGATATTCTAACCTATTGCACTCTCCCCGCAGAGACGTCACTTTGTCTTCTGTGGACACGTGTTCCTAACGCAGCTCCCTCAGTGAAAAGTGGAACAGGGTGGCGGGGGGGGCTTTACACTTTTGTCTGTAATTCTTCATGGCGGTGTCAATTTTGAGAAGTGGTGTGGTGGCTTTTGAAATCCAACAGATGAAGAGATCCCGGACGCAAGCGGCCGAAATGAGTTTCCTCCTCAGGTTGTCCGGGCTCTCCCTGAGAGATGAGGTGAGAAGTTGCGTCATCCGGGAGGGGCTCAGACTCGAGCCGCTTCTCCTCCCCGTCGAGGTGGAGCCAGATGAGGCGGCTGGGGCATCTGATTAGGGTCCCTCCCGGAAGCCTCCCCGGTGAGGTGTTCCGGGCACGTCCCGCCAGCAGGACGCCGATGGACATGATGAAGTCTCCCGGCTGTCGCTGGGGAGAGGGAAGTCTGGGCTTCCCTGCTCAACCTTTTGCCCCTGCGACGCAACCCCGGAGAAGCGCGAGCGAATGGATGCAGAACTTCTTCTAATCCTGAGAAACACTTTCCATCGCTGTGCCATTACAATTTTTTTTGTTGGTCTTTTTGTACCTTATTGTTGATGTTCATCTTTCAGGGCCATTTTTACTACCTGGAGGCCAGACAGCCCCGTTGAGGACACTCGACTCATTTACAGGATACTCAAAAAAGGCTTCCTGATAGGTACTAAATCGAGCATCCTCTCGATAAATCTTTTCCCTATTAACATTTTTTTCCCCTTCAAGTGGTGAGCCATCAGAGTTGGCTAAAACTGGAAGGACGAAAGAATCCCCCCCTCCCCCGAACCGCGACTCAAAAGGTGAGAGGAACACAGTCAGCTCGATTTATTTTTGTTCGACTTTTATCATTTTGCTCATGAGGAAGGCGGGGCGCACAGCGCCGGCGGTGGCTTGCCCACCAGCAAAATAGCTCAGGGTCCGAACCATCCTGGGAGATCTCGGTACGATCTACCCGTCATTCGAATGAAATCACACTTCATTCTGATGATGATGAAACGATGAAGTGGTGTGTCACGAGGACGACAAGCCCAAAGGGCTGGCAACCAGTCCAGGTTGTACTCCACTGCATCTCTCTGCAAAAAAAAAAAAAAAAATCCTCCCTTCCCAATGATTGACGGCCCACCAGACCGCCCCCCCCCTCCTTCCCCAACCCAAAACCCAAATGAGCCCAGGGGTGTACCGTGCTTCTCGGCCAGACCAGGGTTTGACTCCCCCCTTCTTCCCTAACCCAAAACCCAAATGAGCCCAGGGGTGTACCGTGCTTCTCGGCTAAAGTTAACCGGGTTAGACTCCACACTTTGTTTTGCACAATGGCATTCCGAATCAACGGAAGGCCGTCCCTCCTCCCCCGCCGCCCCACTGCCCCTGCCCACCTAACGAGGCCTGACAGCTTCCATGAGGCTCCCGATGACGGCGACAGGAAGGATCAGGATCGAGTGCGTTTGATCTCGGCTAGCGGGCATTTAAACTGGTCGCGATTTGCGGAATTTCTGCCTCTCCACAGTACATTTGGAAAGAAGCAGACTTGTGATCATCTGCTTTTACTTGGGAGAACAAAGATCAACATTTCTGCCAATTTTCTGACCAGCCTGGTAAATCATCATCAAATTTCAAATATTTCGGAATAAAGGGGCTGGGAACGAAAAACAAAAGAATCCTTCGGATTCATCGATGAGTTGAAAAATAACCGTCAGATTAATGAATGATGAAAACAATCCGTTAGTTGCAGCGCTACTTTGATCCGTTTTCTTCTCTGGACATTGACTCGCTTCCATCAGTCCCCCCCCTGCCCCCGAGTGACTTGAGGCTTTTCCGCTCCGGCATGCCAGCGCTTGTTATATAGGCAGCGACATGAATCTTAAATCATTCGTTCTACTAAAATGTAACAGATGCAGAGCCCAAATTTCAAATACGAATCTCGCCGGCAATCACGTTCATTGAATCGTGGCGGCGAAAATTGGGACTTCAAATCCCCTCACAGGTTACAGGAAGGCAAAAAAAGAAAAATCTAATTAAAAAAAAAAAAAAAAAGTCTGCCGTGTTTACTTCCTGTGTGCAATGTGCCCCCCCTTCCTGCCTCCTTATGTTGGCCGGAGCTGGATGTTTTCATGGTGCATTTCCCCCTCTTCCACTGCGGACGTTTTGTAGCGCTTAACATGAGCAGATTAGCATAACACTCTCCACAGGAACCTTGTCAGCATTAAAACTCCACTTCCTCTGCAAGCTCTTTAACTGCCTAATCTGCCCCCCCCCCCCCTTCCCCGAACCAGCGCACCTTCAACTCCCCCTCCCTGACTCCCTCCTGACCCGCCGGTGCTGACAGTATCACTAATGATGCAGGCCATTCGACACGCCGCCGTTGGTTTGTTGAATCTGGCCAGCCTTGCCTCCACTTCCTCCCCCCTGTAAAATGATTAAGACGCAAGATGGAAAGCAGCTTAAAACAACAATTTCCCCCCCTCAGAACAGACAACGTTGATGCGTGTTTAATCCTTTCAGGCTCGATGCTGAGCGTTTCTGTCTGCTTAATGAAAGTAAAAAGTGGAAACAAAATGTTATGGATTGCTATTTCCCTTATTAAAAAGGAAACG